TTACTTGCTATTTTGAGGCATGGTCTCACTAAATTGCCAGAGCTGGCCTCAAACTTGCTCTGTAGTCTAGGCAGGCCTTGAACTTGTGATCCTCCTGCATCTGCCTCCTGAGACATGCCACCAGGACTGGCTCTGTTGGTTCTTTCTATCAAGAATAAGGAGCAGAGGAGCTACAACGAAACAGCCGGCAGAACACTTGCCTAACATGCATGAAGCCCACAGTCACCTCGGCTACAAATCAAGTTTGAGGCTAGCCTGGGCTACTTAAGACTGTCTTAAAAAAAGAGAGTAATGGCATGACCCGGCCTCTGGATCACCCACTAGGTTCTACCTTTTGAAGGTCAACCACATCAACAACCACAGTAAGGACCAAGTTCCCAATTCATGAATTCCAGAGGGAGACAAACTATATCCAAGCTATAGCAATGGATAAGTCTAGCTCAGAGATGACATACTAGCAAGTCCATTGTAATGACAATTATGTCTAAGCCTGAACTTAACAAAAGAAGCTAAGAGGTCGAAGTCTGTCTGCAACTTGCCTCTATTCTCAGGTGATGCCATAGGCATTCTCTTGTTGTCTTTCTAAAATTATTTTAATTTTTCATTTATGTGCGTATGCATACATATTTGTGTGTTAACATGTGCACATATGGGAGGGTGCTCATGGAGGCTACAAGAGGGTGTCAGATGCCCTGGAGCTAGAGTTACAGGTGAGCTGCCTGATATGGGTGCTGGAAACTAAACTCAGGTCCTCTGCACGAGCAGTAAGTACTCTTTAACTGCTGAGCCACATCTCCAGCTGCTCCTGTTATCTTTCTTAAGATGAACTTTCTTCAAGGTCTCTTAATTTTCAACCAGCCATCATTAATATTTTATAATCCATTTAAACCTTGAGCATATGATGTCAGAATTATGGAAGAAACTGGACTTCCATGAAATACGCTTTATCTTCAGAACACAATGGCAGCTGTGAAAACAGATGAAGTAACAGAGGGAGACCTTTCAGAGAAGCATCAAGATATTTAAAGGTAATTAGTACTACTTAACAATGAAGGTCTATGCTTGGAAATTACACAGAAAGGGGGAATGTTGATTAAAGAGAAAAATCTGTTAGTGGAGGGTAAATCACAAGATCCATTAAAAAGTGGGATTATCGAACAGAAATATGTAGATGGGATCCATGACTTCAAATGACCCTGAACTTGAACAGCCGCAAGCCAAAGAGCAAGGGTGTGTAGAGCAGAGTGGAGACGGACTGTTCATGTGATCCACTTTTTCTGAACTGCACTTTGCAACATGCTGCGTCTTCAAGTGGCCAAGCAGTCTTCTGTCAGGATAGGACGTACCTGTAAGTGTGGGTTGTAGTGTTCAAAAGTGACATTAGTCTGTTAAGTAATAGCTTGAGCTTTGCTTTGAGTTGACTTATTTTCCAACAGAGCTAAGTAGTTTCCAACTAAAACAGAATTTTTGGGTAGAGAAGACAGCTGAAACCGGATGTGGGCTGGACCGCAAGTGCTGGTTCTGGAATTGCTTGCTCTCTGTGGCCAATCGGAACAGAGATTAACTCCAAACTACGTACTTCCCAGAGACAATGACCAACTTGAACTCTTTTTTTTTTCCTTATCTTTTTTTGAGACATTCTCATGTAACCTAGGCTGACCTTGAACTCACTATGTAGCCAAGGATGGCCTTGAACTTCTGATCTATCTGCTTCTACTGTAGGCATATGGCACCCCATGACTGGTTTTATTGGGTACTAAGTATTGAATCTAGGGCTTTGTGCTTTCTAGACAAGCACTCTACTAACTACATTACATCCCCATTCCTACAAAAGCCAACTTCTGAGGTCACCTGAAAGTCAAGTGGACCAGTTCACAACTGTCAAGTTCTGCCCACTTAGAAAAGTACTGAACACATAGTAAGTATAGATTGACTGGCTTCTCAACCTTTTGGTAGCAAGAGGGGTCATCTCTGTAGATTTTAGAACTGACTGTCCTAATATCTTGTTGTTCTCAAATGAATTAAGAAGTTGTTTTCAGTTCAGCTAATCGATTATCAAATTGTAGTGAGTCTGAAACACTCACCTACTGCCTTATGGAGCTGAGTGTGGTAGTGCACCCCTATACTTCCAGAACTCAGGAGGCAGAATCAGAAGGATGTGTATGAGTTTAAGGCCAGTTGGCCTACAATGTGAGACTCTGTCTCAAAAAACAAATAATAGCCAGGTAAGGCAAATGCCTTTAATCCCAGCACTGGCGAGGCAGAGGCAGATGGATCTTTGTGAGATCAAGGTCAGACTGATCTACATAGTGAGTTCTAGGCTAGCTATGGCTATAAGGAGACCCTGTCTCAAAAACACAAAACAAAGCAAAACAAAAAATCCAAACCAAACAACAACAATAACAAAAAACAAATAACAGTGCTTGCTTTGAGTTCGAATCCCAAGCAGCCATGGAAAAGCTAGGTATGGCTGTAATCCTAGCATTAAGAAGCAGAGACAGGATTGCTGGGGCTTGCTAGCCAGCTAGTCTAGCTGAATCAGGACCTCCGGCCCAGATTCAGCAAGAGACCCTCTCTCAGAAAATAAAGCGGAAAGGCTGGAGAGATGGCTTGGTGGTTAAGGGCACCTACTGCTCTTGCAGAAGACCTGAATTCAGTTCCCAGAACTTAAGGACTCAGTGAAAAGCAAATGAGGAGGACACCAACCTCAACCTCTAGCCTCCACAAGCACAACAGAAGTGTATACACATATACTCCAAAACAAGCAACAAAAAGCCTACTGCATTATATAACTATTGAGTTATTTACATAATAGGTTTTTTGGTGTTTGCTTTATTTTTTATTTTTTAATTTTTATTTTTTGGTCTTTTTGAGATGGGGTCTCCCTGTAGCCCCAGCTGGCCTGGAACTCACCATGGAGACCAGGCTGGCCTTGAACTCACAGAGATACTCCTGCCTCTGCCTCTGGAGTGCTGTCCAGCATGCTAGGTTTTTAAAAATCACATTATACAGTTGAAAATGGCTTTACTTTAGTTAATCACTTTAAAAAATATTTTATTATTTTTTCATTTTATGTGTATGCATATATTGCCTGAATATTTGTAAGTGCACCCGTGTTGTGCAATGCCTGTAGAGGACAGAAGAAGCTGTTGGATCCCCTGGAACTGGAATTATGGACAGTTGTTAGCTGCCATGTGGGTGCTGGAATTTAAACCTGGGTCCTCTGCAAGAACATCCAGTGTTCTTAACCACTGAGCCATCTCTCTGGCCCAAGTTAAACCATTTTTAAAAAATTTATTTTTTTCTGTATTCTTGAGAAAGTATAGCTTAAAAAGAAAAACGCCAGTCTGTAATCCCTGCATCCCTGCACTTGGGAGGTAGAGGCGGGAGACTCAGGAGTTCAAGGTCATCCTTGCCTATGTAAGAATTTAAGGCTAACTTGAGCAACATAAACTTGGGGCTGGAGAGAAGGCTCAGTGGTTAAGAGCCCTGGCTGCTCTTGCAGAGGACCTGGGTTCAGTTCCCAACACCTACATGGTGACTAATAATTGTCTTTAACTCCAGTTCCAGGAGATCCAACACCCTCTTCTGGCCTCCACAGGCATTGCACGTATGGGTACACTTGCATATATTCAGGTAAAATATTCACACACATAAAACACAAATACATTTTTAATAAAATACAAGTACATTTTTAAAAGATTTTTAAAACTCAAAACCAAAAAAATCATATTTGTGTAAAATGGGTATTAAGGCCATTGTTCTGATGGTGTGCTCAGCCTGCCCTCTAGTGTTTTGTTTTACATATTACTAAATTTTAACCAGTAGTCTCAACCTCAAAATATCCATTTAATAGGATTAAGAACTGTGTCATCAAATTAAGAGAACAAGGCTAAATCTCTGACACGGATGAAAATTAAATCAGAGAAAATCAAAGGCCCTTGCAGAAGCTAGTGGCACCTTCTCTGGAGAGACCTGCAAAGTTAGTGGTAAATATGCTATTTTAAAAGTTTTGTTTGGTAAGCTGGGCACTAATAGAAAAGTTCAAATGCCATATAAAATATGAAAATTATGTTATTACTAGTACCACTGTCATTTTATGACTGTATTGAAGACACTTCAAATGCTGATTAGTGAAATTTTTAATATAACAAATATGCATTTAGTAAATACTCTTTTGTGGGAAATTAAGATAATATGGCATACTTTATAGATTTAATTCTATTAAATCATACAGTTGTTTAATTTATCTTCTTAGCAAAGTTTTAAGCATTTGTATTTGGGATATTTTTAATTAATGTAAATCAAAATATACTTAAATGGAAATTCATTGCCTATGAGGAAAAAAATAACTGCACTATTCACATAGCACAGGAAGAAGTTTCATACAAATTAGGAGAATCCTCCAGCACCACAGAAAATTGTGTTTCTTGCTGAGTGTGGTAGTGTACACCTTTGTGATACTAGCATATTGGATGGAGGCAGGAGGACTCAGAATTATGGGGGTAAAAATTTGCCCCTACATACTCTAATTCTGACTTTAGTTTATTGTGGACAAGAAAATCAAATAAAGATTGGACTCTGTAAGGCCTGTTATTTCTAAAGTCACTGCCTGGACTTCAGGCGACAACTTTATCTTCATCATCGTTGTTTTGTTTTGTTATTGAAGCAGGGTCTTGCTGTGCTGCTCAAGCTGGCCTGCTACTCTCCATCCTCACCCCACTGCCCATGGGCTGGCCTGCCTGGCTTGGTGAATTTATTTAACTGTCATGAAGAATGTAAACTAAATAGAGACTAAATAGGGTTTGTTTGGCTTTTGAACTTATAGTTTAAGCTTCCTTATGTTCCGGACATATTAGCATGAAGAGCCTAAGTCATAAAGAGAAGTTGATAGAAAAGCACTTTGGAGCACGTTGTGTTTTCAATTGATGACCCACAGGCTAGCCTCAAGGAAGGTATTTGAGGCAGGTTTATATTCCCTTTACAGGAACATTGGGAACATGAAACCTCCACTCTTGGCACTTACTGTGTATCTGCTGTGGTTGAAAGGCTGTCACAGTGCACCCACTTGGAATGACAAAACTGCTATCGATGGAAACCTGAAGAGTACGTTTGGCTTCTTATCTGTCCTGTTTGCATGCTTGCCTGTCCTGCTGGCATTTATAGGGCCTTGCAGTTGAGAGACACCCGTATTCATTACATCTCACAGTGAGAAGTTCTTCGGGCACTTAAACCAAGTCCTCATGATGCCAAACATCTGGATAAAAATAGAAAATTCCAACCAACTCTCCACGAGCCAGCATTCACATATCCAGATGTTTGCTATCATGCAGATAAAACTTGCCAACTTTTTGACTGCATTTTTTGGTATTATCCAGATGTTTGGTGTCATCTCAGCTCATCTTTAATGAACAGCGAAATACTTTCCTAGCATTTAAAAAATTTAAACCATTACAGTAATCTGTGTAATTATTCTTAAACTAATCAAGGGGTAGGTTTTCATGACAGTGAATTTGGTTGTTCTGTGCCCATTAACTTGGGCCCTTTTCTTGGTGATATATATTTGGGGTATTTCACCATTAGCAAAATAAAAGAACTAAAACAGAGTTGATCCCGAGTCTGTAATTAAATTCAGAGGCATTAATAAGCTCCTCAGAAGGCCACACTGACTAGAGAAGACAGAAAGACTATGAATTGATACCCACTAAGGACCAGTTCATGGCATGAAAGAGCCGTCTGTTCGGATGCTAAGGAATCTTGTAGTATATGAGAAACGTTTTTAGTTTGACAGCTTCTTGGAAGGCAATTAAAACTGAAAAAGGGAGATTGTTCACTGTGTTTGAAGTCCTCTACTGAGCATTTCATATAAATTGTTTGTCGAGAAAATTCAAATTTTTCTCGAATATAAACATACTTGAGTCTCCAGTGACAGAAAGCTTGATAAGGAAAGCTGGGCCTGTGGAAAATGACAAAGGAACGAGGTTAAACAACTCTGGTTTGTTCAGGGCTCCCCAGTGAGGAAGAAAAGGTAGCACCCATGTGGCAGCTGACAGCTAGTTCACTACTATCTGCTTTCAGAGCACGAGGCTAGAAAAGAACAGTTAAGCCTTTATTTAGAGGACACAGAGTATTGGTGAACTTACTGTTTTGTAATCTGGTCAGGTTAAAAACAAAACATGCAAAATGTCTTTTAGGTTTTTCAGATACAGGGTGGATAGATGCAGGAGGAGAGGTGGAGAAGGCTTTGATTGGCATTAAGCAGATGAAAATCTTGATGGAAAGGAGAGAGGAAGAACACACCAAACTGATGAAAACCTTGAGGAAATGCAAAGAAGAAAAGCAGGTACCAGAAGTGAAAATTGTCACTGCTCCTGCGCTGCGCTCATCAGGACTATAAAGGTGGCGCTTGTACAATGTTACTTCTTTTCCCTGTATTGCATTTTTATTGGAGAAGTGTGAAGGAAGCTTTAAATTTCCACAGAGAACCCACTTGCTGTCTAGCAGACCTCCACGGGGCTGCAAGCACACAGCATTTACGGATTCGTGCCCGAGTGAGAAGTGCTTTTACAAAAATGCTTTCTTTTTAGTCTCTTCTGAGTTAAGGTTTGTAGAGTTTTTGGCTAGATCAGTGGTTTCCAATCCCTATTACCCAAAAAATTAAAATAAAATTAGTCCTCACTCCTAAATGTATGCATACTAATTTTTTTATATGTGAATTGGCACCATTAGTAGCTTGAGGCACAGCATACATTTAGCGTGATGATGGTTAGAAACTCATTCCTTTTTCCCTTTCTTTCATTCTTATTTATTTAGAGACAGCATCTTATGTAACCCAGGCTCAAGGCTAACCTCAAATTCTAGAACCTTCTGCCTTCACCTTTTAAGTGCTGGGATTACAGGCGTGCACTAGTACACCCAGTTTTGAACTCTATTTTTCAAAAGTCTTCTAGCTCTTTAGAGACCATCAGTGGATTTGCAGATATGATTAGATCCCAGGCTTATCTTGTCATGTGGCTAATAACAAGCTCATAAGGAAGGACTACTAGGTCTGTTGTTGCTTCTTGGCTACTTGAGCTTAAATTATTCATAGGCTTTATTTCTCTGTTTCTTTTCCCCAAGAACCGTTTCAAGCCTCCTATCTATTTATCAACAGATTAGTGACAGGTCAGCAAGACAGCTTAGCAAGTAAAGGTGCTTGTCACGAAGCCTCATCATTCCCTGGAACCCACATGGTAGAAGGAGAGAACTGACTCCCACAAGTTGCCCACTGACCTCTATATATGTGCCATGGCAATGTGTGCCTACACACACACACACACACACACACACACACACACACAAAATAGTAAGTAAAAAAAAAATTAAAGCATTAGTTGTAACTAGATAAAAAATTCATCAGTCCACAGAGTCCTCTCAAAGGGCAACTGATGATAATTAAAAGGCAAGTAGAGAGATGTAGGGGAGCCTGGTCAGTGCTTGTGGAATAGGATCCCTTCTCCCCAGGGTCCTCACATATAGTTGGCCAAGCAGAATGTCTGACATCACCTCAACAGAGCACCAGTATATAGCAATAGGGCATTAGCCAAACTTATTGCATTGTATTTAGTTTTTGCATTGTCAGGGATCATAACAAGGGTCTCTACCACCGAGTTATATCTTGACCCCATTTTATTTTTCAAAACATTTATTTTTTAAAAAAATTTTGTGTATGAGTGTTTTGTCTGCGTGTATGCAATGCCCTGCATGTGCATGCAATGCCCTGCAGAGGCCATAAGAGGGTCCAGAAGCCCTGAAACTGGAGTTGCCAACAGTTGTTAACTGCCATGTGGATGCTGGAAGTCAAACCCAGGTCCTCTGGAGGAACAGCCAGTGTTCGTAACTGCTGAGTCATCTCTCCAGCCCCAGACCCCATTTAATTTTTTAGTTTTTATTTTTTTGAGGTGCCAGGGATTGAATACATGCTAGGGTCTCCCACTGAGCCACATTCCCCCCAATCTATTTTTAAGCAATCATGTGGCTACATATGAACATACAGTTCAAATATGTATTTTATCAATAGAAAATACACATTATATTCAAATGTTCTTGGAAAATATGAAAAATTGTTTATAACCTATTGCATAAAGCTTAATACATTTCCAAACTACAGACATTGCATACATCGTTTTATAACATTAACGTAACACTCAAAACAAATGGTTTCTAAAAGGTTATTTTTCAATACTACCTTTAATCAACAAGGAAATAAAAACTATAAAAGAAATAATCCGGAAAATCTGAATGGGTAGTTTATGCCTGTAATCCCAGTATTCTGAAGGCTGAGGCAAGAAGATTACCACAGCTTTGAGGCCAGCCTGGGCTACACAGTCAGTTCTAGGCCAGCCTGGGATACAGAGTGAGACCCTGCCTCAAAGCAAAAACATAATAATAATAACAACAACAACAACAAAAATAATATGGAAAATATTTTAAATTTTAATGTTGAGAATAAATTGCTTTTCATTTTTAAGAAATTAAAATTGTCAAAAACCACAAAATAATATGAAAGTTACCATCTTTTTCTTTTCTTTGTTTTATTTTGTCTATTTATATTAGTGCTAAGGATTAAACCTAGGGCCTCACACATGCTTAGCACATGCTTTTAACACTGAATTCCACTCTCAACTCCATTTTAATCATTTTTAAGTATATGGTTTAATAGTGTTAAACACATTCAGATCATAGGCAACATTTTGCAAAAGCTGAAATCTATGCCCATTCAACAATGCTCTATTTCTCCTCTGTCAATTTATTTTCTTTTGTGCTGATGAGGATCAAACCTCCCCCTCGTTAGTTTTTTTTTTATTAAAAAGTACAACTGGGGGCTGGGGAAGTAGTTCAGTCCATAATGTGCCAGCTGCACAGGCATGAGGCCCTGAGTTCAGATCCATCCCCACACGGAAGCTGGGCGTGGTGGAAGCTAGGCGTGGTGGAAGCTGGGCGTGGTGGCATGTGCCTGTAAGTCTAGCACAGACAGTTGGCTCTCTAGAGATCACTGGCCAGCCAATCTTGAGCAATCAATGAGCTCAAAATCAGTGAAACCAAACCCTGTCTCAAAAGGCTAGGTGGAGCCCGGCATAGTGGTGCATGCCTTTGATCCCAGCACTCAGGAGGCAGAGGCAGGTGGATCTCTGTGAGTTCAAGGCCAGCCTGGTCTACATAGTGAGTTCCAGGCCAGCTGGGGCTACAGGGAGGCCCTGTCTCAAAAAGATCAAAAATAAAAAATAAATAAAAGGCAAAGTGGACAACAAACAACAGAGGAAGATGTTTGACGTTGATTTGACACACATGTATATACACAAATATACACACAACGTTTTAAATAGTGCAAATAGAGTTCTAATACTTCCTATCCCTCTCTATCTTCACTTACATTTCTGTAAAGTTGAAGTAAATGAATTCCAGACTGCTTGAGCACTGTGGCCTCTGGAAGTCCATTGAGCAAAGGAGGCAGAATCTGACAGACTGACCCCAACGCTGCTCTGACAGCCTCTTACCAGGCTGCCTATGGTCAGGCAGGTTGGTCAGGCAGGCCCCTAGCAAGGAGACGAGATGGTTTGTGGTTCAGCCAGCAGCTGCAAGCCCTCCTCCCTTTTGGCAACAATCAAAAGATTTTGAAGAAATCTAAAATAGCTCCTCCTTGGGACAGTGTGGAAGGCCCCCATGCTGGGTTCTTCCCTGGTGGGCTTTGAAATTGGGCCATCTGGGAACAGTGACACTAACATGTCATTAATACAAAACACATCATCACATGGAATCCTTCAAACATCTGGGTCAACTGTACTTTGATTTCACAGCTAAGAAAACTGAGGTTGAAGCTCTTAATTAACACGTTATTCCAACAATGGGCTGAATGGACCTGGAGAAAGGCGGCAGATGTGAGCACATGGAACCTGCCGATGGGCTGCTTTTCTCACTTAAAATTTTTTTGCAGCCAGGCATGGTGACACACTCCTTTAATCCCAACACTCAGAAAGCAGAGGCAAGTGGATCTCTCTGAGGCCAGCCTGGTCTATATGTTAAGTCTCAGGTCAGCTGGAGCTACAAGGAGACCCTGTCTCAAAAGACCAAAAAAAAAAATTTATTTTTATTTTATGTGTTATGAGTGTTGCCTGTATATATGTAAGTGCACCTGTGTCATGCAATGCCCATGGAGATCAGAAGACGGCGTTGGAGCCCCTGTAATTGGAGTTACAGACAGCTATTAGCTGCCTTGTGGGTGGTGGGATCTGAACCAAGTCCTCTGCAAGAGCAGCCAGTGCTCCTAACCACTGATCATCTCTCCAGCCCCCTTTTCTCCCTTTCCTAAACCTGGCAAGCTACAGGTGTGGTATAGTGAAAAGAATATTCAAATGAGGGGTGGCTCAGGAAGTAAACATGGGTCTCAGTGCTGGCCCTGAAATAGTCCAACAACTGATATAATTTTTATTCTTAAAAACCTATTTATTGAATAAAAATGCATTTTGTTAGTTTGGGCACTCCAAAGATTAACTGGAAAAAAGTTTAAAAACCTGCTTAACTTTGAGTCTCTATTCCTAAAATTACTTTAAACCTACAATAAAGGTTAGTTTAGAGAAATTATGAGCTGGCAAACACTGGCATTGTACAACCAGTCTTCTAGTACTGAGCACCACCCATCCCAAATGACCTGTATCACCATGGTGCCCACCTCACTCTCTTCTCATTAATATTTATTGAGAACATCCATTTTTGTTTAGTAGGTTTTGGTTTTTTTGAAACAGATTCTCATGTAGCCCGGGCTGGCCTTGGACTCCTTAACCTCCTGCCTCCTGCTGGAATTATGGGCCTGCATCATATTGACAGCATCTGAAACTTGTTTTCACTAAAATGAAAAGCTCCAGAGCACTTAAAATGAACCCCCCCACACACATCAGGTTTGTGTCTTTTGATGAGCGGTAAACTACACAGACAGTTCTAAGAACGGACTTGTCTATGGATGGAATATTTAGAGGAAGCAGAGGAAATGGGCAGGACATTCCTGAACCAGAGTGTTACTGCATCCATGGTAACAGTCAACTTGCAATACCTGCAAGACTGATTCGGCCAGTGGTTCCTGTTTTGCGTCTTAGGGAAGAGAGAAATAACTCTGAGAGTTACTAGTTATAACAGTGTGCTGGGTGTGTTGCTTTTTTATCTCGCTTAATAACAAAACCCCAAGCAGTAGATTTTACTGTTATTCTGATTTGCAAACAACGAGACAATTAAATATATTAAATAATTTGCTCAATGGCACATAGTGACTACAATTCAAAATTGGGAATACTGAGATTTTAGTTTAAGAGGGCAATACTGAAAATATTCAAAACTTGCCCCCACTGGGAAAGTCCTGGAGGAATTGGAGTCAACCAGGGTGAAGCCACCATTCTTTAAAAAGTTTCTTAATTATCTTATTTTGTAATTATGTATGTGTATGGGGGGTGTTGTACATGTGAGTGCAGGCAGGGGACAGAGGTATTGGATCCCCTAGAGCTGGAGTTGCAGGCATTTGTGGGCTACCTGACATGGGTGGTGAGAACCAAACTTAGGTCCTCTGCAAGAGCAGCTCTTAACTGCTAAGCCATCCCTTCAACTTGAGACAGCTACTCTTAAGATGTGGGGCTCCCACACTGTTCTTAAAAGCCTGTGGGCACACATGCTTACTCTCACCCACAGATACTGTCAATGTGTACTTGGCAAGCTGGGGTCCTGCTGGGTTTCCTATGCAGGTCAGAGAAAGTGCCACCTGGCTTAGCACCAGAACTCTGCAAAAAGAAAAGCTGAAAAAGGCCAAGCCGGCAGAGCTCATGGAAGATCACTAGAACCACGGTAGTATTTTGTGCTTAACATACAGGAAAGGGTGATTTCTTTCCCATTGGGTGAATAAATGTATAATAACATGGGCTGGGATGACTCATTAAGTCATGTCTGGGACATAAGCACGAGGACCTGAGTTTGGACCCCCAGTACCCACATACAAAGCTGGGCACAGAGGTGCTCTTCTGTAACCCCAGCACTGGGAGAGAGGGGCAGGATAGACAGGCAGATATTGGGAGCCTGCTGGCCATCCAGTGTAGCCAACTGGTGAACTCCAGGTTCAGGCTTCAGGGAAGAAATCCCGTCTCCAAAGATAATGTGCAGAGCAATAGAGGAAAACACCCAACTTTGACCTCAAGCCTCCACACACAGAAACATGTAAACACACACACACCACATACATGCACAGCCCCCCCCCCAAATGTATGATAACATCTGTGATGCCAGCACTTAGGAGGCTGAGGCAGGAAGATGATGGCCAGCCTAGACTATGTAGTAAAACCCTGTGAAAACAAGCAAACAAAAGCTTACAATAAATGGTTTCAAGAACAGAAACTTTAAGCTGAGCATGGTGGTGTACACCTTTAATCCCAGCACTCTGGAAGAAAAGGCACGCGGATCTCTGTGATATCGAGGCCAGCCTGGTCTACATAGCAAGTTCTGGACCAGCTGGGGCTACAGAGACCTTGTCTCAAAAAACCAAAGGAAGGAAAGAAGGAAGGAAGGGAGGGAGGGAGGGAGGGAGGGAGGGAGGAAGGAGAGAGAGAGGGAAGGAAGGAGGGAGGGGAAAGGAGGGAGGGGAAAGATGGGAGGAAGGAAAGAAGGACGGAAGAAGAAAGGAAGGAAGGAAGGAACAGAAGCTTCTTTTCCTGTGTGCTTTTCTCCTGAGAGTTGCCTTAGGGCTGAGGTCCATTTCAGCCCTCATTCTGCTGAACGGCATCTCGGGCAGGGAGTGGCCAGTCTTAAAGTACACATGAACAATGATGTCAGGTGTCTAACCAGGGGTACAAGGAAAAAAAAAAAAGCCTGCTGTGCTACGGAGCCAGCCTGTGGGGACCTCCAGGGCAGCGCTATCAGTGACAGGTGTCTTTGAAGCTGGAATTCTTGCAGCCAGGAGCAGGACCTGGCCAAGTGCAGCCAGCACCACAAGGGGGAGCACTCTGAATACAGACAAGAAGAATGAAGCTGCTCAGTGTTACTCAATGGTTATAGGCAAAGTATAATCTTGCAGTGATTAAGCACATGTAACAATGAAAGGCAGCATAAATTAAAGAAGTAAAATATATATAACCCTTACAGTCCACGCTTCCATACCTCCCAAAGGTTAGACATGCAGAGAAGTCAAAAGGTAAACCACATTGGTTCCTCCAGATAGAGCTGGAGTCTCTGGTATTGGCTCATCCACATCTAGTGCAAGGTCTATCACACAGCAAGTACTCAACAAATATTTGTTGAATAAATGAATAGACAAGTAGTTTCACAGCCTTCAATAGGGATTATTCAGTAGCCTCTTTTCTCAAAGATTTATTTCTTTTCATGTGTATATGTGTTTGTGTGTAAGTCTGTGTATGCATATAAGCAGAGGCCAGAAGAGGGTGCTAGGTCTTTTGGAACTGAAGTTACACTTCCTGACATGGATGCTGGGAACTGTACTTGGGTCCTCTGGAAGAGCAGCAAGCGCTCTTAATTGCTGAGCCATCTCTCCAACCCTGGTAGTCTTTTCTTTATGGGATAGAAAGTGCTAGAGCAGTCTGTCAGCAGTGAGGAGTGTGAAGAAGACAGACTGGAGTAGCTTAGAAGATGTACGTTTATATTTATATTTCCCAGGCTGGCCTTGACCTCACTATGTAGCCAAGGATAACCTTGAACTTTTGATCCTCCTGAGTGCTGAGATCACAGGTGTGTGCCATTATGCCTAGTGTGTGCTGTGCTGGGGATCAAACCCAGAGTTTCATGCATGCAAGGGAAGCTCTCTACCAACTGAGTTTCAGCCCTAGCCTGAATATACAGGTTTTTTTTTTTTGTTTTTTTTTTAAAGTGAAACCAACTAAGTTGTTCTTACAATCAGGAAACGGAGATAGGACTTCTATTTCTGTTTTTTAATTAGGAGGCCCTGAAGCTTATGAATGAAGTTCAAGATCATTTGGAGGAAGAAGAAAAGTTATACCAGGTATCTTCCGCAGACTCCTGGGATGAGTGCAGGTCTTGCCTGGAAAGTAACTGCATGAGATTTTATACAACTTGCCAACCTGGTTGGTCCTTTGTGAAAAATATGGTAAGAGGAAAAAAGAGCTCAGTGATTCAGAGTTCTTAAGGCATCTAGGCCACCTTGCTTTTTAAATTATGCTACTATTTAGAATAGCAATGATTAAGATGATATTGACCTTTTGTGGTCTAGAGTAACACTAATGTTTATGTGTCATTACCTGTGTATTTACAATCTAGAATATCATCAATTCTTGTTAATTGTACTCTATGAAACTCCTTTACAAGTATTCTGACTCCATGCTGGATTTTCTGTTTGAGGACATGTTCCCAGTAGATTGTAAGCCCTTTGAGGGCAGAGATTGTATCACATTTGTCTTCATTTGAGCATTGTAGACATCTAATAAATGTTTGTCTAATTGCATTTTCAACTATAGTATGACAGTCTCTGATTTCAATCTTTAATATTTTCTCCTGGAGGCCACATATTTGAAGGCGTCCTCTGCCTCTTCTCTCTCTCTCTCTCTCTCTCTCTCTCTCCCCCCTCTCTTTCTCTCTCACTTCTATATGGTCTACATATATTCCAAGCAGGTCTCAAACTCAGTATGTAGCCAAGGATGACCCTTAACTCCTGATCCTCCTGCTTCCACTTTCCAAGTGCTGCAGTTGGGGTCCTTCCTTCCCTCCTTCCCTCCTTTCCTCCCTTCCTTGATTTTGGGAACAAGGTCTTGTGATGTATCCTAAGTTGACCTTGAGTCCATGGTCCTTCTACCTTAGCCTCTTGAGTACTAGAATTATAGGTGTGTGCCACCACACCATCTTCTTTCAATATGCTTTATCTTTTACATGTAGCATATATACACGTCTGTACAAATGTATGTATCTTCATGTGTCCTTTTGTCCTATCCATGAGTATCCTGTAGGGCTGACATGCTTTCGTTTTCCTCCCCTTTGGCTATCTTCTAGGCAGAAGGACTCACAGAGAGTGGTGACCTACATAGAATGAGCTGTGCCCTAGTAAATCTCGGATTGGCCTGGATCTTCTTCCCCCTTGTAGATGTGAGCTGAATATGCAGTGGAATGGAATTTCACTCTCTGTATTAGTGTATGCAGTAATTGGAGGCTGCTCCTGGCTTGGCAGCGCCACACTCAATGACAAAGGAGCAGCAGCCCCTAGGACAGGAAAATGAACATGCCGAGTTAATCTCACGACACTCTTGACTGCATCTGCTCTATTTTTATAGCTACAGAATATAATTAGATGAGTTCTAAAGGCAGATTTGGGGGTCATTCCCATTTAGGTCACCTATGTGACCTGAACATTTCTTAGGGCTTGATTTTTTTTCTGAGATGGGGTTTTGCTATGTTGACCGGCTTGTCTTAACTTCTTGGCTCAAATGGTGCTTCGTTCTTTCTTAGCCTTCCAAGGAGATAGAACCACAGGCACGTGCTGCCTTGTCTAGCACTGAAGTTTCATTTCTGTGGATGGAATCAGTAACAAAAGCTGGCAGAAGGAGAAGCAGGCAATCCATCAGGATTCCTTTCTAAGAAAGGCATAGATCCTCTACTGACTCCTGCAGAACTCTTTAGACAGCAGGAGGAAGAGGGCACAGAAGGAATATTTCATAGCTGGTAGCACTCGACACATCCTTAGCACTGTGATGTAAAGACAACTGCGGTCTGTCCAGACTTAGGTGTCACATAGTGTGTCTGCAGGACAATCTTCTTCCACTAAATGGTACCCCAAACTCTGTGGCCAGGGCTTCGTTCTTTTGCTTATAATAAACAGGGCTTTAAAAAAAAATTTTTTTTTTGTTTTCTGAAACAGGGTCTCAATATGTAGCCTAGCCTAGCCTTGAACTCACTATGTAGACCAGGCTGGCCTCAAACTCATAGAACCTGCCTCTGTCTCTTGAGTTCTGGGATTAAGGACATGTGCCACCATGCCTGGCAACAAGAAGGGCTTTGATCACTGTTAGTTTATTCATAGAACCTGCCTCTGTTTCTTGAGTTCTGGGATTAAGGACATGTGCCACCATGCCTGGCAACAAGAAGGGCTTTGATCACTGTTAGTTTATAACCACCTCTAAGTATAGCACCATCTATGGTTCGGTGTAGATGTGTATGGTAGTTTGGATGAAAATGCCCCCATAGGCTCCAAGTATTTGGAAATTTTGTCCTTAGTGGTGGCACTGTTTTGGGAGGTCTTAGAAGGTGTGGCTGTGCTGGAGGAAGCACGTCACTGGGGGTGGGCTTACAGAGTTCTTAAGCCTTGACAGATCTCCAGTTGCTCTTTTTGCTTCCTGTGCTGGCTTGAAGATGTAGAGCCTAGCTTCCACTCCTGCTCCAGCCACCTCCTGCCACCAGGCCTCCCCACCATGACGGACTGTAATTCCTATGGAACCATAAGCTCAAATAAACGCTTCCTTCTATAAGTTGCTTTGGTCAGTATTTCCATCACCGCAACAGAAAAGTAACTAATACAATGTGTTAATCTTTTTCTTTCCATGGATTAGTTTAGTGATGACAAGGAGAACATAAAGACAATAGCAACATTCTACTAAATAATAACACCAACAATAATAAAAACGACTAAGGTGAAAGACAACAGCCCTCTTTATAGTTTTCAGGCAAATTTCATAGTGGCCTCTAGTGAACAGCCTGCCAACTGCTGTCAGAGCATCAGGCTGTAGCTTGTCTACTATATTGAAAACTTTACTCTTTTAGTCATCCATGAGCCATAAACCAGGAGGAATTTCAGGTCCTATTTCCATGGTTAAAGTCAAGGCCAGCTAAAAGAATGTTAATACATTATCTCAAAGTCAATCACCTTTTTTCTAGCTTAGACAAAACTGTTCTTGATTTAGAATGACAACTGAAAGCTGACTTTAAAATTTGCTGTAAGAAATGGAACAGAAAGAAATATATGTTTGTTTCCTTTCTGTCCCCTGCTCCACCCCACAGATGGAGCAGTTTCTCAGGAGGATGTACCAATTTCTGTTTCCTCTCAGTGATGAGGCAGAAGATCGCCCTACCAGTGAAAAGCTCACAGAGGAAGATTTACAAGTGACCCAAATGGAAGATGTGTTCAGCCAGCTGACTATGGATGTGAAATCTCTCTTCAACAGGAGTTTTTGCATCTTCAAACAGATGCAGCAAGAATTTGACCAGGCTTTTCAAGCATATTTCATATCTGATATAGATTTAGTGGAGCCTTACTTTTCTCCAGCTTTACCTAAAGAACTAACCAAAAAGGAGGAACTTGGGCAAAGATGGGACATTTCCAGCTTCTTCCAGAAGTTTTGTGATTTCAGTCTCTCTCTCTATGGAAGAGTCCAAGAAACAATTACGAAGATGCTGAATGCAATAGAGGATTCGTGGAAACCAGACAAAGGCCAGTATTAAGAGGCTCCACCCCCTCCTGCCCTTCCCTTTCCTTCTTTTTCCTCTTTTCTTTCTTTTTATGTGTATGTGCAGATGTGTCTACATGTTTATATGTGTGCTGGTGAATGTGTGCAGACCTCTATACATGTGTGCATATGCATGTGGAAGCCAGAGGTCAACCTTGGTGTTATTCCTTAGGAGCTATCCACCTTGTTTATTTTTTGAGGCCAGGTCTCTAACTGGGACATGGGGCTCACTGATTTGGCTATACTGACTGGCCAGCAAGCCCTAGGGACCCTCCTGTCTCTGCCTCCTTAGTACTGGATTACAAGAACCTGCCACCAAGCCCAGTTTCTTATGTGGGTCCTGGGGATTGAACTCAGGTCCTTATGCTTCATGGCAGGCACCCTACCAACCAAGCTATCTCCCAAGGCCCATTTTCTTTCTTTCTCTCCCTACCCCAAGCCAGCCAGATGCCTTAGCAGATAAAGGCACTTGCCACCAAGCCTGACAAAGTTCAATCTCTGGGACCACATGGTGGAAGGACAGAAGTGACTCCCACAAGCTGTCCTCTGACCTCCACAAGTGCCATGGTGTGTGTTCCCCCTACCCCCAAAAAAATATTTAAAGGAAATGGTTGACATTGCTGAGTCACTGTAGAGCATTTCTTGAAGTGATAACTCATAGATAAGGTTTCAGAGCCCCTTACAAGTTTGCCAAGCACCATCCCAAGCCCATCATTCTTGAGAACTCCAGGGCTGTTCTTAGAGCAAAATTTAAAGCTGAAAGAAGACAATGTTAACCAAGTAAAAACTTGAAAAGTATAGTCCCCTCCATTATCAAAGCAAATACAGACTAAGCTCAGTTAATTCTTTCAAGTCAGTCCAGGGCCCTCCTCTCCTTTTACAGGTCAAGCTGAATGCCTTACGACCTCCTCTGAATCACTACTCCAACTCCCTGAATCATAAAATGGATGCACAAAACCACACACACACACACACACACACACACACACACACACACACACACACACACACACACACACACACACACACACACACGCACGCACACAAAATCCCCAAATTATAGAGAGGACACAGCATTTCAGAAGTGAGGGTGGTGGGCCTGCCTTTCCTTGAACTTATCTTTGTTGTTGTGTTGTGTTGTGTTGTGCTCTCACTATATAGCCCAGGCTGGCCTGGAGCTCCAGGTCCTGCCTCCACCTCCCAAGTGCTGGGATTGCAGATAGGTGCCACCAAGCCCAGCTTTACTTTTCCTTGAGCACAAGTCCAAATCAGAAGCTATTCTCTTTTGAAGCAGAGCAGCTTTCCGCTCGCTCCTTTCCACTTACATTAGCTATAGCTGGCAACATGTGAATCAGACTCTCAAAATTCACATTGTGTAACTGGCTTCTATCTAGGAAGGACTTACCTCATTTCAGAAACGGAAGCCAGGAAACAAATCCTTCCCGTCCCATTGTTTCATGGGCAGAGAACAGCCATCATTACTGGAATTGTTGGGTTCTATTTCAAGGTCTGGTGGAGATTTTTGGAAGTCAAATGTTATGTCTGGTATTCTATTCTCAGGTTAAAAATTCATCCAGTATTCAGGACAAGCATCAGAGCAGTAGACTACATACATCAACCCTGGAGTGTTATCAAATAACTTTTGCCTGGCCTTTAAGTGGGTATCAGTTGTGTTGGAATAATATTCAGAATGTATTCGCTAGAACAAAATGGTGCCCCGTTCGTTTTTCAGTCTTACACATGGGTGGTCACACTTAAATGTGCACAGTATTAGGAAGGCTTCATACACATCAAAATCTAAATAACTTTCCCAACCCGTGCAACTCCCTCCTACTCCACTAAGAATGTGCCGGAAGCTCTTGCTATTCACCTCTCTGGTTAGCAGCTCTGCTCTTAGCAGTTTTGTGTGGCCCTGTCCTTCAGCACCACGCCCACCTCTATGATAACCTGGATATCTAGGGTCCCTGTAAAGGCAAACATTAAAAACAAAATAAGGCATGGGGATGTAGCTCGGTGGTAGAACATTGTCTAGTTAGCATGTGTTAAGAACCTGCTGAGCTTAATCCTCAAGAAAATAACCAACCTACCAACTAAACACACACACACACACACACACACACACACACACACACACACAGAGATAAAGCCTGTCACTCTACCATTCTTGGATAGCACCCATCAAACTCAACAAAGAAGAAATGGTCTTTTCCCAGAGGGGTAGATGTGAACTACGGATGAAGCAGTGAGGCAGGGGCCACGGGGCATTTGTAGATGGTTTCTATCACTTTTCTGGACAGCTGGTTGGGAAGGAATAAGCCAGTTGTCCCTACTTAGTCTGCCTAGTGTGGAGGCATTTTGAGCTTTGCTGCTGTGGAAGGCAGAATTAATGATAATCTAGTTATAAAAAGAGGCTCAGTGGTAGAGTGTTTATCTAGCATACACAAGGCCTACTAAGTTCAATACTTTGCACACAGAAACAAAAGCCCGATACTCTCAAAAGTAGAGCAAGGAGGCAGGAAAGAAAAGAGACAGTATCAGAAGGCTGTTGTCCTGCTTTGCCGACTATGAAGATGGAGGAAGGGTCCCTTATGCCCAGGAGTGCAGGGGGCTCTAGAACCTTGCCACAGTGTACACTTGGATTCTCCCCAAGAACTGTCACAAAACCAGCCCTACTGACACCTTGGTACTAACCCAGTGAGACCCACATCAGATGTCTGTCATAGAAAGCTGTAGGATGATGAGTTTGTGCTGTTTCAAGCCGATTTGAGGTACTCTGCTAGAGCAGGAAGGGGAATCTCATACATACCTCTTATCAGTCCCAGTGGCTAACACTGAGGTAGCAGTGTGAGTCAGACGGCCATCAATGAGTGGGCCCTAATGACCACAATCATCCTAAAAAACTGAAATTAGAGGAGTAGCTACAACTGAAATATGAACTCATGAAAGAGAGAATAACAAAACACCTGGAAATAAATATTTAATGCTTTTTAAACTTTTCACATTACTCATTTTTATTTCTTGGGTACAGGAATTTCAAATTTTGATCTGTTTTGGATATTTGAGAGAGGGTCACTTTATAGCCCTGGCTGGCCTGAAACTATGTAAACCAGGCTGGCCTCAAATTCAGAGAGATCCACCTGCCTCTGCCTCCCAGTGTTGTGATTAAAAGCATGAACTACCTCTCTGGGCATGATTGTCTTTGTTTTGCTTTGAGACAGGGTCTCAGGTAGCCAAGGCTATCTTTAAACTCTCTCTATAGCAGAGAATGATCTTGAATTTCTGATCCTTCTGGTTTTACCTCCTAGGTCCTGGACTTAGCAGGTGTGAGCCACCACATCCAATTTATTAAGCCATGACTCATAACAATACATGTATATAATGCAAAAAAAAAGTACTATAATAAAATAAATACCTACTATCTGATTTAAGACACGTCTAATATCTTTGGAATTCCCATCTATGTTCCAGTTACAGCTTTTAATGTTACAGCCCAGCCAAGCCTCAAACTGCTGTATAGTCAAAGAGGCTGGTCTTGGACTTTAATAATCCTCTTTTAACTGTTCAAGAATTTCATTATATTAATGATGATGTACTTTGTTCTACAGAACCTTTTTTTGTCTCATGTGGTCCCATTTTTCAGTTGCTGCCTGTGCTACCAGGGTCCTGTTCAGGAAGTCCTTTACTGTACATATAGGTTCCAGCATATTCCCTACTTTCTCCTCTGTCAGATTTAGGGTAGCAGGTCTTATGTTGAGGTCCTTGATTCATTTGGAGTTGAGTTTTGTACACAGTGAAAAGTAAAGATCAAGTTTCATTCTTCTACATGTAGCTATCCAGTTTGACCAGCACAATTTGTTCAACATGTTGTCCTTTCTACTTTTAGCCTCTGTCAAAAATCAGGTGACTGTACATGCATAGTCTTAAATTCAGTTCCTTAATTTTATTCCATTGGTTAATGTATCTGTCTTTATGCCAGTACCATGCTGTTTTTATTACTATAGCTCTGTGATATAATTTGAAATCAGGGATGGTGATATCTTCAACAGTGTTTCTATTGTATAGCATTGTTTGGGCTATTATGGGTCTTTTATGTTTTCATATGAATTTTTTTTATCATTCTTTCAATTTTGGGGGGCTTGAGGGATAATTCAGTGGTTAAACTACTGGCTGCTCTTCCAGAGGACTCAGGTTCAGCTCCTAGCACCCACATGGTGATTAACAACTGTCCTTAACTCAGTTCCAGGGGATTTGATGCCCTCGTCTGGCCTCCACAGGCATTGCATGCATGGATGCACTTATATGCAGGCAACACACACACACACACACACACACACACACACGTACATAAATTTGGTGAGGAATTAGAAAGTGTTGCACACATGGGAAGGGATCTATATATGATCAAAATAAACTGCATGAAATTTACACACAAATTAAAAAATAAAATTTAAATTTCTGTGAAGAATTGTATTGGAATTTTGATGGATATTGCATTAAATCTCTAAATTGGTAGGATGACCATCTTCACAATAGTAATACTACCAATCCATGAGCATGGGAGGTCTTTCCATGTTCTGGTATCTTCTTCAGTTTCTGAAAGTTGTCATTGCACAAGTCTTTCACTTCCTTGAGTAGACTTACTCCAAGATTTTCTTTTTTGAAACTATTGGGAGTGGGATTGTTTCCCTTATTTCTTTTTCAGTATGTTTGCTGTTCATACGTACGAAGGCTTCTGAGCTTTCTGTGTTAATCTTGTATCCTCCTACTTTGCTGATCACTACGTTGATCAGTTGGCTTTCGACTCTTGATGCTTTCACTTCTGCCTACAGGAATTACAGTCGTGGGCTCCCATGACTGGCTTCTCAGAAGTTTTGGGTTTTTTTTTTAATTTACTTTTTTTGGTATATGTTTGGGTGTGTGTGTGGGGGGTAATGTATACCTGTATGTGTGAGTACATGTGGAGGCCGGAGGTCGACTTTAGGTACTGTTCATCAGGAACCATCCAATCGTGCTTGCTGAGAAGGCTAAGTTAGCCAGCCAGGAGCCCAGTGACCCACCTGTCTCCACTTCCCCAGCACTGGATTATAAGCACATCCTATCATAACTGGCTTTTAATGTGAGCTCTAGGGATCAAATTTAGGTCTTCAGGTTTGTGTAGCAAGCAGTTTCCTGCCTATCTCTTCAGCACTCTTAGTTAAATTCTAATAATACTTATGTGTAAATGTTGTATTTCCTGCAGAGTCGGATCAGGGAGACCTGACTTCAGAGATGTTACGTGATGAGGATGGAGGATTGTGTGAGGAACTTGACCAGAATGTATCTGGATGTTTCAAATTTCACAAAAGATGCCAAAAATGTCAGGATTACCTATCTGAAGGTAAATATTGTTTTATCATTTCTTCTGTGGGTGTACATGTGTGTGAGGACATGTGTACATGTATGTGTGCACATGTGAAGACCGAAGGACAACCTCAGGTGGTATTCCTCAGATGCCATCACTGTTTTATTTTGCTTGAGACATGGTTTCTCACTAGGCTGGAACTCATCAAGCCTGGAACTAGGCTGGCTGACCAGTGAGCCACCGAGATCTGCCTGCCTCCTCCTCCCCAGCGTAGGGATTACAAGTACATTAACACATCTGGCTTTTAAAAAATGGGTTCTGGAGCTTGAACTCAGGTCCTCATACTTGCTTGGCAAGCACTTTATCAACTGAGCTGGCTTCCTAGCCTGCCCTGTTTTTACATTCTTGATTCTGAGGGAATCTATCTGGGGTTTACAGTTACTCATCTAAAAGTATGTAAAGTCATTCTTTCGTCTTCCTCAGCTTCATAACTGTTCCCCAGAATTTTTTTTTTTTTTTGTATATGTCATTAAAGACTAAAGAAACACAATATAGGGGCTGGAGAGATGGCTCAGTGGTTAAGAGCACTGCCTGCTCTTGCAGAGGACCGGGTTTTGAATCCTAGCACCCACATGGCAGCTAACAACCGTCCATAACTCCAGTTACAGGGGATCTGACACTTTCTTCCAATCTCTGGGGCATTACATGACATGCAGGCAATACACTCATACACATAAAATAAAAATGATAAATAAGGGGCTGAATAGATGGCTTGGTGGTTAAGAACACTGGTTGTTCTTGCAGAAGACCCAGGTTTGAATCCCAGCACCCACATGGCAGCTAACAACTGTCCCTAACTCCAGTTCCAGGGGATCCAACAGTCTCTTCTGTCCTCTACGGGCATTGCACGACATGGGTGCACTTACCTACATGCAGGCAATATACACATACACATAAAATAAAAATAATAAAAAAAAAATATTAAAAAAAAAAAAAACCCACTGTACAATGCAGTGCATGGTGGCACAGCCTTTAAACTTAGCACTTGGGAGGCAGAGGCAGGTGGATCTCTGTGAGTTTGAGGCTAGCCTGGTCTACATAGTGAGTTCCAGGCCAGTGGGGGCTACAGGGAGACCCTGTCTCAAAAATACCAAAGTGGGGCAAGAAAAGACAATATGTACAGGAGAAAAACAATGAGCACCTTAGGTCGGCTCTCCTTTCACTGCAAAGAAAAGGAAAAAGAAAAATCCAGTAATGAAGGAAATTGCCATTGGGTAGGTGGGTGGGTGGGGAATCAATGTTCAGCCAAGTGAGAGAGTGTTTGGGAAGTTCTTTCCAGTTGGGTTAATTACCCCATTAGTATTTAAATAGGGAAAATGACTTTTTCTCAAAAGTCCCAGGAAGGCTTTTCTTTCTCAGTTCTAGAGAGTGACATTCCTCAAAGCTAGAAATCCCTCCCTTCATCTCCCGTGCCGCCTTAACTAAAATAACTCTGCCCACCCTACCAGGGCCAGATTGCACTATTTCCTTACGTAAAACAAGAACTTTTGATTCCCGAGCTTTTACACCTTCATGTCACGGGAAACTTAAAAGTGTGCTTAATGGCTTGAAGAAGGAGGTCGTAGGATACAGTGAGAACAACATGAATTAGGGTGTTGATAAGTCATCTCACCATGTTAGCTGTGACCTCAGGCAGGTCAGTTTCACCGTCTACATCTGTGCTGGTTAATCTTCACTGTCAACTTGACGGGACCCAGAATCCCTATGGAAACACGCTTCTAGTGTGGCTAGAGAGTGTTTTTAGAAATGATAGAGCAGGGAAGACCCACCCTGAATGTGGGTGGCCCCGACTGCATGGGCTGGGGTCTGGGACTGAATGAAAAGGAGAAAGCAGGCAGAGCCCCGCCATTCATCCGTTTCCTGGCTATGGGTGCGATGTGACCAGAGGCCTCATACTCCCGCCATCATGCCTTCTCCACCATCATGGACTGTACCGTCAAACTGAGCCACAATAAACCGTTCCCTCCTTAAGATGCTTTTGCCAGGTATTCTGTCACAGCAATGAGAAAAAGTAATGAATACAAAGACTCAATGAGGTAATCTCTAAATAAAGGACCAGATAATAATTTGTTGGCTGCAAAGTAAAAGCTGTTGTGCCCTTAATTTCCCCCAAAGTGAAACGGGGAGAAAGAGCATCCCCTAGAGGGTTCTTAGTCTCATTTATAAAAGAATTTAAGAATGGACCCAAATGGAAGCTTTTAGGACAATTTTATTAGAATTTTAAGGAAAATCCTCAGGGCAGGCGAGCTGGTAATCTCACTAGCTGCTTTGAAGAATAGACTGGAGGAAAGAAATTCATGCAACCATGCAGGTTGAGAAGCCTGCATGGAAGTCAGACACGTGGCTGGCTGGCAGCCACATGGCCAGGAGAAGGAAGCTTTAGAGAAAAAGTAAAGAAATGCAAGATGCTGGGGCAGCCCAAAGTCTTAAAGAAAGCAAGTTTAGAAAAGGGATATGAAGAAGAAAGGAGAGATGATGCTTTTCTGAGACCTACATCTGTGGCTGGGTCCAGAAGCGCTGCACTAGGAGGTGGGATTCCAGGCAGGAAAACTTCACTACCTCCTTAGAGCACTAGGTATTCCACCATCTATTTAGCATAACTTAAGGTGAACCTGCCTTCCTAGGGGTGGGTCTGTCACCGGGTGATTGACCGGTGAGACTGGAAAAGTGAGTCCTCCAACAGACTAGAGATTTTATAGTCCTGACCAGCAAAGACCACTGAAGACGGATTTCTACTAGCAGGAAAAGCAGAGCACAGCCAGTAGAAACCCCTTCATCCACCTGTTTGCTTTCTTTCCTCAACCCAACAGAGATTCTCAGCAAACTTAGCCGTTTAGAAGGGACAGAACAGAATTGTCCTGATCTTGAACAAAGTAATGTTAAAAAGCACATTGGCTTTCAAAATGTCATGAGAGGGGCTGGAGAGATGGCTCAGCTGTTAAGAGCATGTACTGCTCTTGCAGAGAACCTGAGTTCAGTTCCTAGCACCCACAGCTGGCGGCTTACAACCTGTGGAACTCCAGTTCTGAGGAGACCCAATACCTCTGATTTCCAGTTTCCTGCACTCACATGCACATACCACCCCCCAATTAAAATAAAAATAAAATAGGTCTTTTATTTATTTTGAGACAGGGTTTCCTTGTAGTCCCAGCTCACTTGGAACTCACTATATAGACCAGGCTGGCCTTGATTGCACAGAGATCCACCTGACTCTGCCTCCTGAGTTCGGGAACTAAAGGCATGTGCCACCGTGCCTAGCAAAATTACCTTTAAAGTAAAATAAAATGCCATTAGATATACCATAATATAAATTAAGGTTATCATTGGGTTTTAACATTGAGGATGTTTTATACTCTTCTGTGTATTTTTCACAAATTTTACCCTAAACACACATGCACATATGTACTATAGAATATTAAAAACTATAAGGCATTTCTCAAGTTTGTTTGACCTTACAATATAGCATCAGTCGTGGGTTGGGGATGTAGTTAGGGGCAAGTAGGTCGTCTTGGGCCAGAGCCACAAAACAAAAACAAATACAACAACAAAGCGAACTCTATGACCCTGCTAAGCCTGCCACATGCTTTAAATCCCAGCACCTTGGAGACGGAGGTAGTAGGATCAGGAATTCAAGACCAAGGTAATGAGTTCAAGGTCAGCCTGGGCTTCATAAGACACTGTTTCAAAACAAAAACAAAAGCAACAAAACACCCTGCTCAAGGAAACTAAGCTTACAGATGAATGTTCTGTCAGTGAAGCGTATCTGCATCCTGTAACAGTGCATTACAGAAGTTCTAAACCTTTGCGTGTTTAATTCAAAAGGAGAAAGGTTTCCATTCTAATATTCTGTTCAACTAGACAGAAAAAAATGAATTTTTTTCACTTTTCTCATTTCTTTTTTTGGTTTTAGTTTATTTCTTTAAGTAAAGTCACTTGACAAAAAGAACCAACCTACAAGCCCTTTAACATCAACTTTTTTTTTTTAAATACAAAGCTTTAATAAATACATAACTCAGTAGCCTTACTTTATCTATGGCAAAATTAAAATCCATTACTCTCAGTCCAACATTACAATTTAGACCTTGAAATCAATGTCTAATGTTCTTCATACTAAAAGAGGAACTTGCAAAAAATTTTTTAAACCATTACACACTAAGTATTTATAGAGTAGAAGAGGGACACACAGTTCATTTCATCACCTGAAATTACACAACAATCTACAATCCACGGAATGCTGTATTCCTAGTCACAGTCAGAGACTTTTTGAGCTCCTTGGCATGTGAGCATGGATATAAAGTCATCATGTAGATTTCAATGATAATGTTTTTCACATCTACTAATTATTAAGGAGCAAATTTTTATGCTTTGAAGAATTATTTTTTTTAATCATTATACTTTAAAAATTTTTAATAACTACATGATTAGAAGCTTTACACTACAGCTTTAACAAAAAAAAGATTTTTAATGGTCTGCTAAACTGGATCAATATTTGAGTAGTTACTAAGTCTTTGGGGGTGTCAACAATGTTCCATTTCTCTCTTTGGTTATGTATTACCAGCCTGGGTTCTCATTTCTGAATTCTGAGGTTCCCTGGACTGCTAAACAAAAGTGAGGCTCTCTCTCTCTCTCTCTCTCTCTCTCTCTCTCTCGTTCTCTCTCTTTTCTTCAACCAACCTCAAAGTGTTTTTCTCTACCCCTCCTTTTGAAAGTAATATCCATTAAATAAATGGGTTTCCTACTTCACATCCCTCTTCAGCCAAATGTTCTACCCCAGCTTAGAATGTATATGAGAAAATTTTGACATCTAGAATCTGTCTTGATAGAAAAACTTTTAGAAGGTATTGCTTTGAGTAGTGTTGATTATAAAGTACTGCTTTCCCACCCACCTCACTGTTTTGGTTACCTAAAGCAGGTGAGGGTTTTATTCCTATTGAATTGTTGACTATGTGACTTTGTAAGTTACTGTTTCATCATTTGAAAAGTGGAAATAACAGACCTACTTCATCCAGGTCTTTTGACGATTAAATAAAATGTCTGAAGTATCAGTGATTTTTATTATTCAAGTATTCTTTAAGTGTCAGTGGCAGGGTTGTATACAGAGGAAACAGGTATTTTTTTTTATAAAGATATGCACTAGTGGGGACTGGGAAGATAGTTCAGTCATTCAAGTACTTACTGTGCAAGCATGAGGACCTGAGCTCAATCCCCAGCACCCACATAAAAAGCTGGGCGTGGTGGTGCACACTTGCAATCCCAGGACTTGGGAAGTAGAGAGAAGTGGATCTCTGGGGCTTACCAGGCAGCCAGCCTAGCCTAATTGACAAATCCCAAGTCCCAGTGAGAGACCTTGTCTCAAAAAACAAACAAATGAACAAATAAAGCAGATGACTCCTCAGGATTGACACTTCAGACTGACCTTTGGCCTTCCATGCATGCACAAACACGTACAAACACCTCTCCACACAACATAAACTAATCACTCATGAACTCCCATCTATGTATTTCTACATCTATTTTTCTCCATCTATTTAAAGCACTGATAATTAATTTCTCTGTGATTGTCACATAGAATATAAAATGAATAATGCACTATAAATGCATCTGATAATGACTATGTATCAGTGTGCTAGCCAACTTCCTATTACTATTCAAAATACCTCAGATAAATCACCTAACAAAAAGAAAAACTTGCTGGGCGTGGTGGTACACGCCTTTAATCCCAGCACTTGGGAGGCAGAGAGAGGCAGGCGGATCTCTGTGAGTTTGAGGCCAGTCTGGTCCACAAAGTGAGTTCCAGGCCAGCTGGAGCTACAGGGAGACCCTGTCTCAAAAAAACAAACAAAAACCCAAAAACAAAAAAATAACTTTATTTTGGCTCACATTATTGAAAGTTTTGGTCCACAATTGATTAGCCTCATTGCTCTGAGCATGGGATGAGGTGGTGCTTTATGGTGGAAGAGTGTGAAAGAGGAAGATCACTTAGCTCCTGGCTAAGAAGTGGAAAAGAGAAAGGAAGACCAAGCACAGCTCCTGACCTAAAGACCTCCCGCTTGGCTCTGCCTCAGTTTCCACACCTTTGGACTAAGGACCAAGTCTGTAACACATGTCTTTGGAGACTATTCCAGATCCAAGTTATAGCATTTAGTTAAGGATAAGGCATACATCAGATAATACAGTGTAAATGTAATGTAAGCTAATTGCTGCAAAGGTAAAATATAGATGAATAGATGTCCTAATGTGGTCCTATACTGTTAAAACTTAGAAAATGCAATTCGTTTTAAATGTATAAAGGATAATTTAATAAAAACCCATGTACCAACCACCTACATTTAATAATTCAAACATTACCAAAACAGACAAAGCCCCATTGTGTCACCACTCCAGATTAAATCCCTTTTATCTCCTTAAAGGAAATGGAGGGACTGGAGATATAATTCAGTAGGTAGAGTGCTTGCCTTGCATATACAAAGCCCTGGGTTTGATCTTAAGCGCCACATAAACCAGCACATGCCTGTGATCCCAAGAACTCAGGAGGAGAGGCAGGAAGATTAGCCACATAGTGAGTTTCGGGCTAGCTTGGGCTACATGAGACCTGGTCTCAAAAAAGTAGAAATAAATACATGAATAAATGGATAATTTAGATTTAGCATTTACTTTTTCACATTTCTTTATACTCTTATGCATCTACTTATATAATATATATACATATATATACACACACACATATATAATACCTAATAATGTTCTCTCTACTCCTGAGCCCCACCCCAAGCATCATCCTCATACCCTTCAAAATACAGGTAATAGGCATGTGAAATTTGAATCAAGATGTCCTTTATCTACTTTTATCTGTCCTATAAAACCATATAATTAGCAACTAGTTAAACCAGATCTCATTTGAAACTGATATGGGCACGTATCACAGTTTGTCTCTTCATTGCTGGGACAAAATACTCTGACCAATACCAACTTGGGGAGGAAAGGGTTTATTCAGCTTACATCTCCTGCGACACAGTTCATCAGGGAGTCCAAGGTAGGAACTCAGGGCAGGAACCTGGAGGCAGGAGGTGGAGCACAGGCCATGGAGGAACACTGCTTTGCTTGCTCCCCTGGCCCCTGCTCAGCCTGCTTTCTTATGCAACACAGGCCCACCTGCCCAGGGATGCCACCACCCACAGTGGGCTGGGCCCTCCCACATCACAAAACAATCAAGAGGATGCCCCACAGACATGGCCACAGGCCAGTCCAATGAAGGTAATTCCCCAATTAAGACTCCTGCAACCCAGGTGTGTCAAGTTGACACTAAACCTATCCAGCACAGCACTTTAATTAGTACAAACAATTGGCATTAACTAGGAACTCTAGGATTTAAGGTCATGCCATCTACCTGTAAGCATCCTGGACCTTTTCTTCACTATGTTATGTCCTCTTTACTAGACTGCCCTGATGTACCTGAACTATACATAGAATTCCTTGAGGCCCTAAAATTGGTCAACATATCCAATCAGCAATACAACCAGATTGTCCAAATGGCCCAGTACCACCTGGATGACACCAGATATCTGATGGAGAAAATGCGAGAGGAGTTTGGTTGGGTGTCTGGACTGGCAAGGTATACCCCAGCAGCTGAGGACATCTTTAATTCAACAAAGGTAATGGTGAGACTCAAGAGCAAGTACAGAGAAGACACGTGCTGCCTCTTTTCTGCTAATTTACTTACTGATTACTGAATTTGAAAACAAGCTGGAGGCAAATACCCATCTCTACTGTGATTGTAGTCAAGAGAATCACCTATACTATCAGCTATGCATAAGGCTATGGTAGGAAGATCTCAAGTTCCAGGCCTGCCTGGGTTACATAGTGAGTTCCATGTCAGCCTAGACAACTTAGTGAGACCCTGTCTTAAAAATGTTTAAGGGCTGGAAATGTAGCTTAGTGATGGACTACTTACCTAGCATTTTTAAGTCCTGGGTTTAATACTCAGTACTGGGGGGTGATATTAAAATACAAAATGCATTTCAATATATAATGACTAATTCTCATAGCTACAGGGCTATAACTGATCATGATAACATTGAAGAAATGTGCATTGAAATTTTTAAAAGAAGATTTGTAGGTAAAAGTTGAGTTCAAAATTAGACTCTAAAACTTAATAGTTGAGAAAGCTTGGAAAAGTTCCTTGACTTTTCTAGGCCTCAGGTTTTCCATCTGTAAGATAGGAATAATGGCAGGCACCTTAAAATGTAAGGCCCATGATAAAAGTTCCTTATTTTTTAAAAAAGTAAATAATAGCTCTTACTATTTTTGATACAATAAGCGACTAAGAATTAAATATCATCTAAAAGGCTGGAGCGATGGCTCATAAGTTAAGAATACCAGCTGGACCCCAGTTCAGTTCCCAGCACCCACTTGGTGGCTAATAACCATCCGTAACTCCAGTTTCAGGGGATCTGACGCCCTCTTCTGGCCTCCATGGGCAGTACATGACATTGGTACACTTATGTACATGCAGGCAATACATACACATATGTTAAAATAATATTTTATGAGTCCCACATTTTTGGAGAATTATTTATTCTTTGTAGTTTTGATTTTTTTTTTTTTTTTTTTTTTTTTTTGAGACAGGGTCTCCCTGTAGCCCCAGCTAGTCTGGAACTTGCTATGGAGACCAGGCTGGCCTCAGTCTCACAGAGACCTACCTGCTTTTGACTCCTGAGAGCTGGGATTAAAGGCATGTGCCACCACACCCAGCTTATTTATTCTCTTTGTAAAATTTTATTTACTTTTTATTTTACATGGATGAGTGTTTTGCCTACATGTATATAAGTGCACTCATGTGTGCAATGCCTGCAGAAGCCAGAAGAAGGCGTCAGAGCCCCTGGAGCTGGAGTTACAAACAACCATGTAGGTGCTGGGAACTGAACCTGGGTCCTTTGCAAGAGCAGCTAGTGCTCTTAACTGCTGAGCTATCTCTCTGGTACCATGACATCCACATTTGATCAATAACTCATTGTTGCATAAAACAGTGACCAACTTCCTGTCCTAAGCCATGCATCCCTGTGACCATACACAAATTGCATTACATAAAAATGCCACAGTGATTCCTGGTGAAGTTAGCATTGAGGTGGAGGGGTCCTAAGAAGACCTGGGTAAAAAAAATACTGGGCACAGAAACTAAAGATGCAGTATTTGTGTAGCATGTGATATTGCTGTATGTGTTAGTCAGGTTCTCTAGAGGAATAGAACTGACAGTAATTACACACAAGGGATTTCTTACATTAACTTACATGACACGTGCTGGGCAGTCCAGCGATAACTGTCTGCACAGTGCTGAGGTTGAGAACCTGGTCAGTCTACAAAACTGGATGCCTCAGCAGTCCCAATCTAGTGCTGAAGACATAGAGAATTCCTCAAGAACTGCTAGTTTCAGTCCATGATGGAGGCTGAAGAAGCTAGGTCTGACGTCAGCAGCGGAAGGCAGCGGTGATGACAACAGCAGCAACGAGATGGATGCACTATGAGTGCGTCAGCTTTTCCCTCCAATGTCCTTTCAACTGGGCAGGTGTTGGAAGGTGCTACACACTCTGGGGGTGTGTCTTCCCCCCTCAGTTAACCCAGGAAATGCCCTCACAGAACCATCCAGAGGCGAGCCTTTTAGTTGATTCCAGATCTGAAGCTGATAACCAAGATTACCCATCTCGGTGCCCTAATCAGATCCCTGTTACCAGATCCTGCTCCAGCCACTGTGTCTCAGCATGCCGCTGGATCAGGCGGCAGCTAGAGGAGGCTTGAAGCCACGTTCTTGTCCATCTTCTCCCTTTGCTGGTTTGCCTTCCTCATCCCCATAAAGGTTTCACCTGAGAGCATCCTTTTAGCAATCAACTCATATTGGGATCTCAGGCTCTGTTTCTAAGGAATCTAGCATTTTGCTCTTTGTCACCCTGAGAAGTTGTAGCCCATACATAGTTAAGTTTGAAAAGTAAGTTTAGCAACTCATAACAAACATATATGAAGCAAACATAAAGTTTGGGTGTAGTGGCAAATGCCTATAATTATCTCAGTACTTGTGAGGCAGAGGTGGGAGGATCAGGAGTTCAAGGCCAGCCTCAGCTATAAAAGGCCCTCAAGAAATTACAACCCAAACAAACCCTAGTGTGGTAGTACACACTTGTGATACCAGCAGTTTGGAAGCTGAGGCAGGAAGATTGTAGTGAGTTCAAGGTCATCCTGGGCTACATAGCAGGTACGAGGCCAGCTAGGGCCACATAACAAGACCCGCATCTCCATGTATGAGGTTCTGTGGTCCATACCCAGCACCAGCGGTAACAGGGTGGCGGAGAGCGAAAAGGAAGGGAGGAAGAGAGGAAAGGAAGGAAACAGAAGACTGAGTGATGGGGGGGCACTTATTTAGCTCATAGTCTGGAGACTAGAAAATCCAAGATCATTTTGCCACCTGCTTAGCGTCTGGGGCAGGCCACATGTTACTCTATGTATGCAGGGGAAGGGGATGCGGCAAGCTCTTGTGAAAGCAGCACTTGTGTGAGAGTCTGCGGTGGGATGCCAGGCTTGCTTCATAACAACCTACAACCTGTTCTTGCAGTAACTTATCTAGTCCTAGACGTAACCCACTCCAGTGAGATCTAATCACCTCTTAAAGGCTGCACCTTCTCTCAGTAACATTACATTAAGAATCAGATTTCCACGTGAGTTGTGGAGGGGGCACGCCACACCCAAACCATAGCGGGAAAGTAGTGCCAAGCTCCCCGATTTTCAGATGAGGCAAAAAGGAGCAACTTGTGTGAGCTCACCCAGAGAGTGATCGTTAGAACCAGGATGCAAACTCCGGTGGGTTTTTCCAGATATGTGAACTCAGCCACTTTGTTCAACTGCCTGTAAAAGCTATTCTTCTCAAAGCAACTCTTATCATGTAAAGCAAAGCACAGATTGTAAAATTGCAAGTGTTAAAAAGAAGCCTTACGTATGAACTACACAAATTCCATCATGTAAAAAAGTTATGGCCCTTGGCTATAGTTATATAGGTGTTTATAATATTATTTACTGGACTAGACACAAATGTTCTATGTAGTTTCTTATAGATATTATACTTGCTAAAAGAAAAGTGGACAAGTCATGTGAACTATTCCTTTATAAACTAGAATTGCAGCCAGGTGTATAGCACACCCCTACAATCCTCTACTTGAGAAGTAGAGGCAGAAGGATCAAGATCATCCTTAGCTATATAGCAAATTTGAGGCCATCCTGGGCTGTTATGAGAACCTGTTTCAAAAAAAATTAAAAACAAACCTAAAAATATAGAATTATAGCCTGGCATGGTGGCGCACCCCTTTACTCTCAGCAATGGGGAGGCAGAGGCAGGTGGATCTCTATGAGTTCAAGGCCAGCCTGGTCTACATAGTGAGTTCCAGGTCAGCTGGTGCTACAGGGAGACCCTGTCTCGAGAGAGAGGGGGGGATTATAAAATTTCTTAATTTTTTCTCAGTGTTTTGGCTAAGGGGATTTATTGGTGAGCACTTTTGAAATAGTTCTGTTAAGGTTACATCAAGTTACATTTAAAGTTCACTTCCATTTAAATGATTAAAATTAAATCATATGCATTTGGGAATTCATTAGGAAAGTAACCAGTCCAGGCAAGGTGGCACATGCTGTAATCCCAGCACTCAAGACTTTGAGGCAGGAGGATTGTGAGTTTTGTGAGCTTGAAGCCAGTCCAAGTCTTGTAGTGAGAGCCTTTCTCAAAACAAAAAGGGGGGGGGAGGGAGAGAGAAGGGAAGGAGAGAGGGAGGGAGGGAGAGAGAATGCAATGTGAATGCCATCTTGGTTCTTGCCAACTCACACAACCATAAATTGTAAATTTCTGGAAAACCACAATACTTGCCCTTCCACATTAATATCGGTGGCACAGACAATAGTGTTCATTGAACACTCCCCCAGTTCACTCTCATTTTCTGGTTCCTCTTGCAGAGAAGTGGTGCCGTTATGCATGTGCAGGTTAGAAGACAACTTGTGGGAATGGGTTTTCTCCTTCCTCCATGTGAGTCCCAGGGCTTGAATGCAGGTTGTCAGGCTAGATGGCAAGTGTCTTTACCTGCTGATCCACCTTGCTGGCCATGTCATTAATTGTGGATATGTACTGGGATTTAGCAAACTTTTTACTGTATAATCCTTTTTTTCCAGGCAGTTTCAAGCATCCCTGAAGAAAATTCTTCCAAACAAGAAGAGATGATGGCAGACTTGCACATTCTGCCTCCCCTTAATTCCACACTTAAGACCCCTCCTGAAGAAAGTGCTGAGAGCTTCAATTTCATTGACTATGTGGTGGCAAAAGTTCTACAGCATATTAAGCAGCATTTGAAAATTTGGTAAGCAGAGTGCCTGGCTAGGAATGTTTTGTTTTGACAGGATAGGTGATTCATAAAAGGAAAGAATTATAAAAATTTCTTTTGGCCTATCAAACTTGCTAATGTTAAAAAGCCCAACAAAATGTTTATAGGAATAGAATGACTTCAAAACACTTAAGTTATAGAAACTGGTTCTGCCTTTTATTTGGTTTTCTTTCTTTTCTTTCTTTCTTTCTTTCTTTCTTTCTTTCTTTCTTTCTTTCTTTCTTTCTTTTTCTTTTTTTTTAGATAGGGTCTTGCTATATAGCCCAGGCTGACCTCCTGGTGTGACCTACCACACCTAGCCTCTGAAAAGCTGTTTGGTTATATGTATCCTGAGTCATACATGTTCTTTTTTATATTATTCCCCTTCTGGAAACACCTTCCTAAGGAATAAATCTAAATTTGATTAAAAGGTTCCCCTTTGAGATTTATATTTGAAAAGGTATTTAAAATAATAAAACATTGAAAATAATCAGTGTCTAAAAATAAGGATCTGGTTATGCAGATTTTGACTAAATCTACTCAGCATACTTTATGAAATTGTTTTTTAGTTATAGAATTTAAATAAGGACCTGTCAACCACTGTGACCAGATCTTTATTATAAACTTATTTTTAAAGAAATATTGTCATCATTTTTCAGTAAAGGAACCTGAGGCTCAATGATCTCAAATCAGTGTGGGAGAGCTAGACATTGAGCTCAGTTCTCCCTGATTACATATCACTACAATGGCTATTACATTTGGTCCAAACAAGCAAGTTACAAAAATCTTGGAAATATGGCTAATCTTAAAGAATTATTAAATTTGGGGGGCTGGAAAGATGGCTCAGAGGTTAAGAGTACTTGCTGCTCTTGCAGAGGAAGAAGGACCAATTCCCAGGATCCATGTGGAGCAGCTCACAACTGCTGGTAACTCCAGTTACAGGGGATCCAATGCCTTCTTTTGGCCTCTCTGGGTACTGCATGAATATGGTGCATATACAGACAAGTAGGCACACACTCATACATGCAAATAAAAATACATTTAAAAAATTTTAAATCATTATTAAATTTTAATTTTAAATTATCATTCATAAGGGACCTTTTTAGTATGCCACTGTCTATATATAATTAAATAATACCAGATACAACTTTGCCTCCAAGTTTTTCTTTAATCAATTACTTTTTAAAAAAAGACTTATTTTTGCATGTATGGGTGTTTTGCCTGCATGTATGTCTATGCACCATGTTCATGACTGGTGTTCATGGAGGCTTGCAGTGAGGAAATGAATTTGACTTGCTAAGTGTGTCTACCTCTAGAGCAGGGACAGTCTCAGTGCACTACCCTGGCTTAGTTAACTTTGAAGCATCAGCAGATTGGAGTTCAAACCCACTTCCTCAGAAATGGTATGAATAAATTAATAAGTGTGGATGAATGGAACACGACAAGAATAACAGGAGGTAAAGATGGGAAAGCCAAGTTAGAAAGAGGGCAGGAGGCTTTTGAACACCAAGCTGTGGAGTTTGAGTTTTGCTCCATAGGCCCCAGTGAGGCTCTAGGTTTTTGAGAAAAGGAACATGCGGGCATTTGTTTGCACATTTATAGCAACATCAAAATGTTTGCAATAAGGCCAGGCATGGTGGTGCAAGCCTTCAGTCCCAGCACTTGGAAGGCAGAGGTAGGCAGATCTCTGTGAGATCGAGGCCAGCCTGGTCTACATAGTGAGGTCAGGGCAGCTGGGGCTACAAGGGGGACCCTGTCTCAAAACAAACAAACAAAGGTTAACAACAAAATGACTCTGCCTCTGTTTCCCAAGCACTAGGATTATAGGCACAGACCACCACACCCAGCTCTATATGCCTGTTTTTGAGGAAATTTTTTTGTGTTTTTGAGACAGCGTCTCCCTGTAGCCCCATCTGGCTTGGAACTTGCTATATAGACCTGGCTGGCCTTGAACTCACAGAGATCCATCTGCCTCTGCCTCCCAAGTGCTGGGACTAAAGGCATGTGCCACCACACCTGGCTAAAAAAATTTTTTTTTAATATAAAATTTATTTTTATGTTTATGTGTATGCATGTATTGCCTGCATGTAGGTAAGTGCACCTGTGTCATGCAATGCCCGTGGAGGACAGAAGAGGCTGTTGGATCCCCTGGAATTGGAGTTACTGACAGTTGTTAGCTGCCATGTGGGTGCTGGGATTCGAACCCAGGTCTTCTGCAAGAACAGCCAGTGTTCTTAACTGCTGAGCCATCTCTCCAGCCCCATGTATTTTTTTAAATTTATGTGTATGAATGTATTGCCTGCATGTATGTGGAGAAGTCAAAGATTATTTTTCTTTTTCTCCACCCAGATTTCTTCCTTCCCTTTTATTGATGCTTAATTAGTAAGTGCTGGTCCTGAGTGTGCTATATGAACTCTTACTGGAAGGTGCACTTCATTTTTTGATTTAAAAAAACCCTCAACTTTGTCTTCATTTCGAGGAAAATTTCCATCTTACTTTTGTTATCAAGTGTTGCACTTGAAGGCTTTTCGAGTTCAGGGCTCAAATCATTGTTTGTGATCTAAGGGTTAACTTCCTTAGTGATTGCATTCTTCTCTTTGATCCGAATTCATCAGGATAGTTCAGAATTTCCTCACCCCAGTAACGGGCTTTCAGTGATATTGCTTCTGCACCTTGCTAGTTCTACGTTGGTGCTAATTGTCTTTAGAGATTTTAATTATTTTATTTTTTTATTTTATGTGTATGTGTGTATTGCCTGCATGTAGGTAAGTGCACCTGTGTCGTGCAATGCCCGCGGAGGCCAGAAGAGGCTGTCGGATCCTCTGGGACTGGAGTTACGGACAATTGTAAGCTGCCATGTGAGTGCTGGGATTCAAACCCGATCTTCTGCAAGAACAACCAGTGTTCTTAACTGCTGAGCCATCTCTCCAGCTCCCATCTTTAGACATTTTAATCCATGACGTATTTCCTACATCTCAGTCCACTTTCATCTTATCTTGTTAGGCTTGTTCTTCAGTATGTGTATGTATTCTGCACAGTACTTTCCATAGCATAGCCCTAAGACAGGGAAGGCTTCTTTCTGTTCTTTGAACTGTTTATCCCAAGTTGGATTTTAGTTTTTGGCCATTTGTGTGCCATCCCCTTTTATAGACATTATGGCATTTATTACATGTTTAATGTATATTTCTTTATTGTGCTCAGTGAATAAACTAGTCAAATTAATTTGATGTAGCATGTACACAATAAACTCATGTTTAATTTTTGCCACTGTATTTGAGACCTTATAACTCATAATGCTAACTATAACTGCAATCTCTTCACATCACAGGACTCTCTGAAAGCTGAATATTGTATTCTCTCCTTGTTTCTCAGCTTGAATTATTGACCAGCAGTGGACATTACGCAGTGTATAGTTTTTGTTAACTTGGCTGAATATAT